CACAAGTTCCTGATACTATCGGAGAAGACGAGGCTGAAGAAGACATTCCTACGATCTCATCGGGTGCCGCTGCAGGTAGTGCAGCTGCCCAGATCGCAGGTCATCCAGTTAGTATTCTAAATTTCAAATTGACCTAATTGTGAATCGGAAAAGAATTAACTAGTCTTGTGATCGGATACAGCTTTTAGCTTCTTTAGTCCAGTCTCGTTTGAATGGCCTTGTTGGTCGTTCTTCTGGTTATATCGAATCCCTTCCTGCACCCATCCGACAACGTGTGGATGGTTTGAATGGTATTCAAGCCGAACATGCCAAGATCGAAGCCGACTTTCAAAAAGATGTCCTCGAACTAGAAAAGAAGTACGCACATCGATATGGACCTCTTTACGAACGAAGAGCCGAGATCATTGCGGGTAAAATCGAACCTTCAGCAGAGGAAATCGCAGCTGGAATCAAGATGGAAGAAGATGAAGAGTCGGATGATGAAGAGTCTGGAGATGATGCTGAAAGTCCAAAACGATCGGCTCGTGTACCTCCTACTGCTGAGGAACTGGCTGAATTTCCAAAGGGTATTCCTGAATTCTGGGTGACTGCTTTGAGTAACCATCTTGGTATCTCTGATTTGATCACCGAACGTGATCAAGCTGCGCTTAAGCATCTTGAAGATATTCGTGTTACCTATCTCGATGGCAAGCCTGGCTTTAAACTCACCTTTTCCTTCGGTCCTGGTGCTAAGGAGTTCTTTGAAAACGAAAAGTTAGAGAAGACTTACTATTATCAGGATACTGTGGGTTACGCTGGTGATTTTGTTTATGAAAAAGCTGAAGGGACAAAGATCCTTTGGAAGACTGGTAAGGATTTAACCGTCAAGGTCGAAACCAAGAAACAACGAAACAAAAGTAGGTGTCTTTGGTTTTTCTTTTCTTTCAAGCACCTTGAAACTCATCTCATATTTTTATCTTACAGACACAAATCAAACCCGAGTAGTCAAGAAAGTGGTCCCAACCGACTCTTTCTTTACCTTCTTTAGTCCACCCACTCCACCTGCTGAAGAAGACAACTTATCCGAAGGGGAGCAAGACGATATCGAACAACGTCTCGAACTTGACTATCAAATTGGTGAAGATCTGAAGGAAAGGGTATGTAATCACCTCACCTGTCTTCCTCTACGCACTTTTGCTGATCGGTTTTTGTTTACTTCTTTTTTTTGTAGATCATCCCACGGGCTATCGATTTCTTCACTGGCAAGGCATTACGCTTCGAGGATGCTGTTGACGATGAACTATCGGATGAATTTGACGACGACGACGACGATGATGATGACGACGTATGTGTCCATCTAATTACTCGATGTATCAATCTATAATAAGCTAAGTACATGACTTGGTTTCATACAGGACGATGACGAGGACGCAGATGCTCCTGGCCGCTTGGTTGTCCCCGGAGCTAGAAAATCCCGAAAAGCCCCAGTCCCCCCAAGTGGCGTCACGCCTGCTAGTAACCAGGATCCTCAGGTTGGTGAACATTTGAGTCTCACAGCGTGAAACGATCGAGGACTGATAGCTTGATTTTGATTAGGAATGCAAGCAGCAATGATTGCTACAAGATAACTTGCGATACTCTTAATGTTACTTGAAAATGAAAACTAGTGCAAACACATTCTTTAGCTCATCAAAACCTGTCTATCTATCAAGGTTCTTTGAATAGCTCTGAGATTTGTGTGCGACTCAAAAAAATGATTGTAATCTTCAGTTTGAAAAAATACACGTTTATGAATGTTATCCTTTCGATCCAACATGATCTTCACCAAGTACAGCTTGTAGATGCCTCAAACTGATTGTCGTAAGGCTATGCTTCTGTTTTGGTTCAAGTATTTTGTCCGTTTTTGATTCCTTTTCTTAGTGAAGTGTTAAGTTTGTCTTTGTCTATTTCATTTCCTTTATAATATCAAATTGATGGTCTTGATACAATAGCGGTACACAAATATGAAGACCCGTATGAAAAAACCTGTATGAAACCACATGAAATTTTTGGTTTCTTCATGCGGGTTTTTTCCACGTGGGTAGCCCTTGAGGTTTGAGAGCCCCGGGTTCCATCTGAAATTGTCCCATCCCCCTCAAAGATGCCTAAATTCTCAGCCTGTAGGAAGGTGATCTTATCATCACTTAATGATTGACGGTACCCAAAGCAACACGCAAACCCCCCCGCTGTAAACTGGGGCGGCGCGGCGGTAGCGCTGCGGTCGCACCGCAGACTCAGTCCCATGTAACATCACTGGGGTGGACCCGCTGCGCCGCGCGGTCTTCACTGCGGTCCGACCCCGCCGCCACCCAAAAGAGGTAACCCCAGCGGGAACGCAGGGTCGCAGCTACTGTACAGTAGCCTATAGGTCATCACCTCATCCGTTTCACGCCAATATCCCTCGATTCTCAGCCTCCATCACCCATTTCAACCCCAATCCATCTCGATTGGGCAAATGGGGCAACGCAGGATGGATGTCAACGTAAGTACATGCTTATCTCACTTTTTATTCACTGAAATGGTTCACCTGACACTTCGATTTCCTTCGATTTCCTAACTCAGCGTGACTCCACTCAGATTACTACCTTTTATTACGCTCTTTGACTCATATATTTCATTCGAGTTATCGTTTACCTTGATAGTCTGTCAGCCTTCCTTACCAATGTTATCATGAGTTCAAGTCTTCTTCCACCATCTACCCCAGGTCGCGAACTGCGAATACGAACTCCACAACAACCTTCACCCGGTTTTGTGCTAACTGGTTCAGATTCACGACGCCGTATCACCAGAGAGCACGGCTCACCTTCAACTTGTCCTACTGGTAGAACTTCAAATACAAATGAGTCACCCATTTCGAATTCGACTTCCAGTCAAGTTCAACCATTATCAAAGAAACGAATTCGGGAAGAAGGTACTAGTGACGCCGACAGTAATAGTATTAGTACGACAGTCAGGAAGAAAAAGAAAACACATCCAAAAAAAGTAAGTTTACCTTTTTAGATGTCTTGTTCTTCTTTGATACTTATCGCTTCTCATCATCGATTTATCGTATTGCTCTTTGAATGGCATCTTTCAGGTGACTCAAAGTCAAGATGTACCTACAGTGGTGGATGTAGACCAAGACTCGTCGGGAGAAGATGAACAAGAGTCTCGCCCATGTAGGAAGGCAGATGTTGTCGAACTTCTTAAATACTTTGGAGTTCCCAAGCACAAAGGGAACGAGGTAGGTGTTCCAATGTTTTTCATGCCTTTGTTATCAAATTTTTTGTTCTTTGTTTAACTTTTTGTTTTCTTCTTTTGGTTATATCCATTTTCTTAATATTATAATACCAGACGGGGCCGTTCAAACGTTACTACCCGTGTAACTGGTGCGATGAATGGTTTACTCGCGGGGTGAAATCAAATGATAACCTATACGGGCATCGCGACGGGGATAAAGCTCGACAACCGTGCCCGGGCCGTAAGAAAGCCATCAAGTCGGGCTTGAAACTTCCTCCAACTTATCAACAACTTCAAAAATCAATCAAAATGAAATCAGGCAGCGGGAAAGTGATGCAAGATTTCCTCGAACGACCTTCCTTCACCGTCGAAATGCTCAACATAATCTTGGTGATTTGGGTAATTCACCATGCTCTTGCATGGCGAAGATTTTCCGACGTGATGCTTCAAAGCGCCTTCAAGCTGGCCAATCCTTCAGCCGATATGCGATCACCAACTTGGGCAGCGCAGACTGCGAAGAAGTTTTACCGTTCACTTTGCTCTGAGGTTTTACGTCAAGTAAAGGTAAGTTTTTCACTCATTTGCATTCCATCCTTATTCCATCATAGTATTCAATCAAATCAATCGATCACTTACTAGTTATTTAATACTATTACCAGGCGAACACCAGTTGCATATGGCTGGTCCACGATGTATGGACTACACGTGGTAACCGATATGCATTCATTGCATTAATCGCATGCTACATCGACTCAAACTTCAAGTATTGCAAAGTCTTATTAACCCTCAAGATGGTAGCTTGGAACCATTATGGTATCCTTTTGGCCCGACCAGTGGCCCGATACCTCATTCGACACGATCTTCACGCCAAGATAAGTATTTGATGTTTTCTTAATCTTATTTCTTAATCTTATTATGAAGTAACAATCTAGCTGACGCACATTATATATCTACGTTTTAGGTCAGACCACCGACTCAGGGTCAAACAACTTCACTATGGCCCTCGAGATGGAGGTGATGTTTTCAGCAGCTGAAAAATCGGTGAATTGGAGCAGTGGCGATATGCACGCCAGGTGCTATTGCCATAAGCTGGCATTGGTGGTTCGAGCTGGCCTGAAGGCCCTTTCCATCCAATCTGGCCATTCGAAGCCAACCACCGATGCGAATGCTGCTATTCCCATTCCTACCTTTCAGCTAAACGACGGAGAAGAAGAGGTAGATATTGAATCCGATGAGGATGAGGATGAAGAACCTTTGGGCGAGAGCGACGAAGGTCCTCAAGAAACAGAAGAAACCCTTTGCTCATCAGCAACAGATGTAGCTGCTAAGCATTTGGGCAATATCTTTGCCTCAGCCATTGAAAAGGTAAGTAAATTATTTAGTTTTCTCAGTCATTTACATTGCACTCTCAAATATTGACCAATTTAATGCAATAGGTTGACTTTGTCAGTAAGAAGATCGCGGGATCTCACTCGCGTCGTCAGGAATTCAGAGGACTTTGTAAACAAGCTGGTTTGGACCACCGGACCCCAATTGCAGGTTATGGTATCCGCTGGAACGTCATATATGGTTCGCGCACTCGCATGTGCGCTGCACAAGATGTAAGTTTAATCTTTACATTGTATTGATATTGGCTCACGCTTTTGTTTCAATTCCTTAGGTAGTTAACAAGATGCTATCATCAGATCGAAAGAAGACTCAATTTTTCAAGGGGAAACTTATTCATGCGGATGAATGGGAAGCGATCGAGGCCCTCAACAACATATTGGAGGTTTGTCCTCTGCTTTATTTGAATCCACCTCGCCTTCAAAACTAATTGCATGTCATGATAGATATTCTCCATCGGCACCAAACGTATGGAGGGGGATTTTCCATCTGGTGCCATGGTTCTGGTCGAATACAATCGAATCAGAACAGCCCTTACCGAAGCTCGTGCCAAATCGAAGATGATACCCCTCAAGGACATGATTGGAGTGATGTTAGATCAGTTACAACTTTACTTGGACGAGGCTCTTGATTGCCACGCGTTGATTCTTGCAACCGCTTTGCACCCTCGCTACTGACTTGCATTTTTCCTCAAGTTTTATCCAGATCAACATGAGAAGGCGAAGACATTACTTACCCAAAAGTTCACTTCTGCATTGGAAAAAGCCAAGCAACCGCCACATTTAGCTTTGCCAACCGAAACTCCGAAGGTATCTGCTGAGGACGACGATGACTTTGATGAATTTACCAATAGTAATCCTGTACAGACGGCTCGAGAAGGAGAACTCGACTCTTACTTAGCAGGTCAGCGTGAATATGACAAGACCAAGACTGCGCTAGATTGGTGGGCAGTAAGTTGTTCTTTATCTTTCATTCATCTTTTGCAAGATCGAATCTAGTAACGCTAACTCATCCTTCTTATGAATTATAACAGGCCAACGAAGCTGTATTCCCAGTCCTTGCCGAGTTGGCAAGGGACTATCTCGCTGTTTCTGGTACAACTTGCGCTGCTGAACGAGTTTTCTCGGGTGCAGCAGATGTGTGCTCACAGGATCGTGCAGGCCTTGTTCCTGCCACCATCACCCAGTCCGTCTGCTCACACGAGTGGGTCAAGGATGGTATAGACCCCGGTGGTGATTACGGTGATGCAATCAAGTATGTCAATACATACTCATCTGAGCAGGCTAAAAGCAAAAAAAAACGGGTGATTGAAATTGTGGATTGAAAATCAAATGGTTATCATTTACATATACTTTCTATGCTAATACTCTACTCTATGAAATAAATGAATTTTTTTACTTTGTGCCTTTCAAAAATATGTTTTCTACCGAAATGGCCGCCGTCAAGCGGACAGCGGCGCGCTGAGCCCCGTTTTATCGCTCCGCTACCCCACATTGGATTTGACTCGCTGGGATAGCGCTGCGATGAGGGCGTGTTCCCACTGGGGTAGATCCCAGCGCTTTCCCTGTTGGCTCAAACTGCGGTGCGCCGAGGCGGGGTTTGCGTGTTGCCCAAAGGCACGACGGTACCGTCTGTTTCCACGAAGAGTGACGGGGTCGGACTATGGGTCGTGGGAGAAAATAGCCTTAAGTTGAAGGTAGGTTTCTCCCGACGCGAGCTTGAAGATTTGCAGAGAAGTGAAAATCCTTCACTCCCTCTATCTTCCCACGCGTCGAATTCCCCAGAGTCACTTTACCCCACACTCAGATTTGGGAACTTTCTCACTCTCTCATGTCTCGCTTTAAGCTACCTGCTTAAGTCTTCTTTTCGAAAGTCTCTTCATTTCTCTCTTCATATAGAATCATGTCAGCTGAAGAGACCAACACTTCTAACACCGAAAGGTTTACACAAATGTTAAGAAGATCAAGCGCTAGGTTAAGAGCGGGATCTGTTCCACCGTTGGAATCTGAACAAACTGTCGACCGATTATTAGGACCCGACGAAATAGTGACTGGTACCTCAACAAGCAATCAAAGAGGTAGAGACCGGGGAAGGGGCCGTCGTAATGCTAGGGGTTCTACAAGGCCAACTAGCGGGACCACGAACTCTGGAGATGGAGGTACATCGGAGAACACTAATCCTACTGTTACGCTCACGGTACCAGGATCGGATGGAAACGGTAACTTGGCTCCCTCGTCAACTGCTACTTCTGGAAATCAAGGAAGCGGCTTATCAGCAAACAGTCAAACGAGCTTAGGTGGTTCAACAACCCAGGATGCTACTTGTACCTCTGTAATTCATCCGACAGGTTC